TTTTTTTTTTTTTGGGCAAAACATAGAGGACATTTTTTGCAAACATAAAGAATGAAAATAAAAAACGCAATTCGAATATGATAAAAATATTAGGGTAATAAAATCATACAAGACTAAAATTGCATTTTACTCACGTGAATTTGTCATAATTTCCTAAAAAATGCATCTTATACCCTTGAGCTTTGGCTTTGCCGACTAGACAACCTTGCCTAGGTAGGTGGCTGAAATTATTAAGGGGATGATTGTTTATTAATTCATTTAGAAATTAATTGGTTCTTTTTTAACTATAGAAAATATTTAAAAAAAAAATTGGTATAGTTAGTTGTTAGTGGATATATTAAAATAATGTTTAAAATAAAATAAATAAAGTTGATAGGATGTAAGAGTAAGAGAAAAATGATTAAAAGTGATAGTTAGTTAAAATTATGTGAGTAGATGAATAGTGAATTAAAGTTGATGTGATGTGTAAGAATGATTAGTTGAATGATTGATTCATATTATTTAATTATATTGATACTATTGGAGATAGTGAGATTCAGTTAAAGTTGAGTTAAATTAAGTTTTGATTGGCATATTTGGAGTGAATTAATAAACAATCACATCCTAAATCGGTCTCCCCGAAAAAACCAATTAAAATATTCCTAAGCTATCTTAACCTTATTTATGGTGATCAATATTTTTTATCACGAACTTTTCGCACCAAGCGGCACTTAAAAATAAAATATACAAAAATGATTCACACCTCACAACTTGTGAGTTTTTGACTTAAATGAACTAAATATACCGATAATGATTGATAAATATAGGCTAAAAAACAGATTAGTGTTATTTTCGAAACGTGTAAAGAGAGTAATAGAGTATGCAAAAGTATTCGAACACCAAAATTAAAAGCAGAAACAATTTACATAAAACATATTTTTTTTTTTTGTGGAGTATCTAATTACCTCTGAGAGCCTTTTCATTAGTAGTTCGCCAGATATTTCTTAGTAAATATTATTCATATTACTTAACTAATTCATTGTTGACATATATAACTACAGTTACACATATTTTTTTTTTTAATATCCGTATTGATAAGGCTGGAAATTTTTAAAATTATTTGTTGACATAAATAACTAAAATCACACACAATGAATTTTTTTATGCAAAAATCTTTAATGATTTATAGTCATCTTATATAAATTGAGTGTTGAATCAAGTTCTATATACTCATTATTCGTGCATCTTGTTTCAATTTTCTCATACAAATACACATATATTCAGTATTGTTGACATCCAAATTGACAAGAAAGTTCATTTCCTGGCAGACGTAAGAAAGTGATCTATGTCCAACCTGAAGAAGAGGATAACTAATGAGCCATTCTGTTCGAAATCCCGCGAAACCAACCCCATTAAGGTGCATGGAGTTCGAGGTTTAGAGTCCGACCTGCATACTATCATACCGACCTCCATAAGCGCATTTATGGCAGACAATATACATGTCCATCGTACAATCAAAATATAATCATGAGGAGTGGACCCCCTCTATTGAAACATAGCATGTCGTTGTCCAATCGTATTTAATGCTACCATGCTAGCCTAGTGAACAGTGTATGTGAGTTTGGGAATATAAATACCTCCTTGTTATTTGTAATATAGACCGATCATTCTCTCTCTCCCTATATTCATGAAATTGGTAAAATTGGGGATAAGATAAAAGTTAATCACACTTTATACAATCTAAGCTACTCGACACAATTCCATACAGTTCTATACAATACTGACTTGATTGTCGGATATTTAACAGCAAGAACACCTCCCGGCGTCTTTGTAGGTCTCAAGGGAGCAAGGTGGTGGAAGATCATTGGAAGACCGGTTCAAGGTACAAAAGTACATCATATATGTCAATGATGTTTTACTACTAATAATGCCATCGGTCACAACTGGTTTCACCTTGCCATCGGTTATTGTCGTTGAGTGTTAAAATCAAATCTCGAAAATAAAAGCTGCGGAAATCGCTACTTTTATAAATTACGAGTAATATTTATGGACAAATTTTGTAGCAGGAGAAAATAATTGGTTTTCGTTAGCTATATCAACTATCAAATCACAACGTTTGCAAACATTTCAATAGCTGAATAGCAGCGAAATCAATTTATGGATGGAAACCATCAATGGGCTCAACTAATTTGAAGGATTAGGAGATTGTGTGATGTCGCTTATCATGCTCAGTGCAACACACGGTTGATCAACGGGCACCTGAAAACACAGCAAATAAATAGAGTTAAATATGACATTTACATATCTTTCATATGTATTTAGTTCATTAAAGCACTGCAAAGTCTGCAATACAATCTTTAACTTGTGGTTGCCACTTGAAACCTTATATTGTCTACAATTTTCTATTTGGCACGTGTTTTTTTTTTCTATTTAGCACGTGTTGTCAGTGCCATAAAATTGATTAATGCACATCAGATGTCGCAGTCACTTGTCAAGGACTTATTCACACGTAAAACTATTCAAATAGTTGGTCAAGTTTTTGCTGAATCTTGCACTGTCTGTACAAATTCCCAAACCAAATTGAACGATTCGACTTGTAAAAGATCGAGCCCAACTCACTTGTATATTTAAACAAGTTAAAGCCAAACAATTAATTGAGCTTTTGAATCAAACAAGTCGAGCCGAACGTGTTCTCGATCGACTCAGCTAGAATTTTGAATTTTAATCTAGGTTTAAAAAATTTTAAATGAGTCGAACCGAGTTTAAATGATCCAAACTCGAGCTAATATGTTTGTTTATTAAACGAGTTGATTTTTGGTAACTCAATTATTAAATGTGCACGATTTTAAACATGAAATATTTGACTCGAATAATCTAGCTAGACGCATGTATAAATAAAATAAAAGTATGAAACAATTTTGAAGTATTGATAAAAATTACATGAATATAATCACATATTAAATAATATCAAAATATGAATGTTGTATATGTAGGACAAAAATTAATTATTACACTTTGTAGTCTTGTTTTATATGGAGATGGACCTCCTAAAAACTTCTGAATTATTAACTATTCTTTTATACATATGTCAAAATGATATAATTTAGTTAATTAATTATTTTTTTCTTTAAAATGGAAAAATATTTTTCTTATATACATGAATTTTAATTAAGAAAAACAACATATTTATTAGAAAGGCAGCCATAAGACAGTATATTACCCTGTTTAGTCTTGTTGTATGGCATGCCATTTAACGTTCATATATCATTTCATTGAATATGCCACACAAATAAATGAGACTTAGTATTAATTTTATATACTCAAATACCATGTTTTTGAAAATAATAAAATATATAACTAATTGTGAATTCCGTAAACTCAACCGCATACTAAATATTCTAATGAAAGTCTAACATTATTTATTTTCTCGAATAAAATCATTCAAATAAATTTTGTTTAACCAAATAATATAAAATAAACACAAAAAGAAGATGGAAAACGACATAGTTAGCTAAAAGGAAAAGCACAAAGAAACTTAAATTCATTGATTTAATACAAAAATAAATATAATTTATTTTGGGGCAAAGCAAGATTAACCAGGGGCTAGTTTAATATAATATGAGCTAAAATATTTTTTTTGCTAATATACGTTTAAATGTACCGAAAAATTATGACCGGACTAGAGTCACCCCGGACTTTGGGGAGGTCCCGCCACTGTATGTACCATGTAGCTTCCCTAGCACTCTTCCTCCTAAATTATTCTAACACTTATTAATATATTCTGTACACTTATTAATATATTATGTACAATGTTGTAACTTCACTTCCCTAGCACTCTTTCTCCTCCTAAATTATTCAACACTTATTAATATTATGTACAATGTTCTAACATCATCCACACAAGTCACAGGTCATCTGCATCCTACCGTTAATAAGGTATTTAAATGGCATACAACTTCATGTGCATACAAATTTTAGTGAAAATACGACGGCCTTAGTAATTTTTTATATGCTCAATAAACACATTATAGATGTTAGTTAGCATGTGCATTGATAAATTTTAGTGATAAATGTATCAAAGAGAAAATACAGATGATCCTAGTAATTTTTATAGCACATATATATTAGATGCTCAATAAACACATGACAAATTTTAGTTTAATTTTTTATAGCACATATATATTAGATGCTCAATAAACACATGACAGATGTTAGTTAGCATTATCCTACTTCATTTTTTTTTTCATTTTTTCAAAATTTCACCTACTTCATTACAATTTGATTGTACATGTAGCATTATTATAAGGTTTAGAAACGGAGTATTATACATTAATAAATTTATTGTCTCTATTATCCTAGTACTTCATATGATATAAGTATGAATATTTACCTAACCTAAAATCTAATTAATTCGGAATTATCTCTATTATCCTAGTATTTCATATGATATAAGTATGAATATTTACCTAACCTAAAATCTAATTAATTCAAACTTATTTTGAATAGGTAAGCCTAACATACAACTGATAATTAATTATATTAAGTGTTTGATAGAGAATATGTTGCGCCAATTTAATGAGTACAATAGTGTATCACCAAATCTGGTCCGTTGCAAACCTTTAACTATCTTTTTCCTTTTTTCCCCCTATTTTTATTCAAACAACTAAACTGGTGTAGAGTTGGAGTTTTGAGATTATGTACCAATTGGTTTTTATTTAATTATATTTTTGTTTCTAGTTTAAAACTCTAAATTTAATTAATAAATTACATTAGCAATAATATTTCTAGCATTATCTAATTAATATTTAATAATAATTTGTTATAAAAAAAGATAAAGAATGTTTGGGAATATATATTTATTTTGGTTCAAAATTTAGAGTGAAACCGTTGGATTGATTCTAAAGCTTGGTATATAAGTTGCACCAAGATATAGTGTAAAGTGTTGGAGATTACAGGGAGCAATTGGATATCAAAATATTCTGTTTTTCATTTGTCATTCAAAATTTCACCTTGCCTTTTTTTTTTTCTCTATACTCCAATTAGAGCTAAGGGAGTCGAGCCGAGCTCCTGCTCATAACACTTGAGAGCTCGAACTCGAGCTTTTTGCTCGACTCATTTATCAAAATTAACAAGTCCCGCCTCAAAATTTATATTTTTTTCCAGCCTTAACTAGTCGAGCTGAGCTGAACTCAAGCCGAGGTGAGCCCACTATCAATTAAATCATTTAGCTCTAATCGTTATATTTTTCGAGAGAATGAAGTTGAGAATAGGGAATATTGATGTTACTTACGAAGTGACCAGCTCCAAGAATCCAGTAGAAATGCAAGTTTCGATACGATTTAACAAACCCTTTGGTTACTTTTTCTTTCCCACAGTAAATGGGCCTTCTGTTCAGGCCCAAAAACGTTTTTAACCCATCCCACCTGTATGTATACGCACACATAATTAAGTAGATCATAAATTTTTAATTATGGGGAATAAATTAATTAAACCAAAAATA